ATTTATCGTGCCAACTGCCTTTAAGTGAGGGAGGCGCCATGGATGGATATCCCGCCCATACGATCAAATCTCGAGGACTGCTTCCAAATCATAAGTGATGCAGCACATTTTGTTCCGGCGACAATAATTGCTTCCAAAAACTTTCGATTAGGATTTTCCTTGCTAGAAGTTAAGCTGCTTCAAGTAATTCACAGCGTCAGTTGATATTAATGTAATGACCAATACGCACTAAATATGAACCAGAACCTGTGTACTAGTAAGTCCATCCTCATCGGCATCATCTGAGTAATCTTCGTCATAGCCATTTTGGTTGTTGCTATGCCTCAACGGTCGCGGCATGGCAACGACTGATGAACGGAATCTGTATGAGGAATAATTAAAACTTTGCTGCACAAGAGTACCCTAGTTATGTCCTGGTAGCGAGCCGTTATGCTCGCAAACACCAGTGACTGCACCAAAAGCGCTTCTTCAACGTAAAAAAAGATATAGCACGATTCACCTTATTTACTTTCCTGCACAGAGCACGAGAAAACCCGCCGCGTACACTCACGCGGCGTCGCGCTGCCACCCGCGCGAACAGGTCCTGCCGCCGAAGGGTTGGCGGGAAGTTTCGTGATTCAAATATGAAATTTCTTACCAGTATTTCTCTTTTGGTTTCTTCATTAATTTCTCGAGGTAGCTTTCATTTGCTGCTGACCCTTTCTCCAAACCCTATGTGTGTTTTCTGGTAGGTTAAGCAACTTCTTGAAGCCTTTAGAAAATTTCTGGAAAGAAGTTCCCCGTCGTGTTCAAAACAAACGCAGTTGAGAGGGATTGTTGGGATAAGTTTCAGACGCTAACATACTTGGGAGGGAGGAAAATTGGCAATGGGCCTCCCTACTATCCCCTCCTCCCGTCAAGGCTTTTATAGTTAGTGGTGACTATGTCTTCTTCTGCGCACCTAGTGACTCGGTCGCCTGCGCTCTACGCCTGAGCCATTTTGGAGAATGGGGGATACAGAGGCGGGGAACCGAGTCATCCCTCCCCTCTCCAACTACTTTAGCGCTCAGTGGGGCTTAAAGATAGTCTGGCAGAGTAGACATAATGTCCACTAAGCCTAAGGCAGCGTTCAGACTTCGCGACGGCAGCGCTTCGGTCGCGCATTCGACGCGATCGATGCGCATGCTTTCGACTGCATCGATCGCGTCGAACGCGCGACCGAAGCGCTGCCGTCGCGAAGTCTGAACGCTGCCTAAGGCAGCGTTCATACTTGTAGCGCTACAGCGTCGCGCTACAGCGTCGCGCTACAGCGTCGCGCTACAGCGTCGCGCTACAGCGTCGCGCTACAGCGTCGCGCTACAGCGTCGCGCTACAAGCGCG